AGGATATAACTGGCTATTCCATTACATCATGCAGCTTCCATTTAGAGTCAATCCAGTGGATGGCTAAGCCGGGAACAAACTTGTAGTTAAGGACTGTCCATGTATCGCATGTGAACTTAACGTTGGAGTCAAACTTTGCAAAGAACTCCTTCTTTCTTTATTGATCTTAATAATATGGTCATGATTTGCGGGTAAAATATTTCCAACAAATACCAAAGAAAACCTCAAGTGTGTGTTCTCTTGAGAAAAGGATTAGGTGTAGCATCCTGGATAGCATCTGCATTAATGCAAACGCTTTCGACAATAGTGTTGCAATGTGCACGCAGTTAACGCAGCTCTGGGTACTCAGCAATCCGATACGGCAAAACCTGACGAACCACCAGCTTGACGATTGCCAATTTTAAAGATTTTACGGTTAAAAAATGATTCTAGATATAAATTTAGTGTTAGTGGTCACCATCAGTGAATAGCGCCTTGAAATTAAAGAAATTGGTAACGTTGGGCTCAAAAAATCAGTAATCTGCATAAAATTGAGAGGTATGCCGTCGCTAGTGTTTCGATGGGACTTCATTAGGTGACGATAAAGGCCGCTTAATCCCTGTAAATTACTCTAACTTAAAGTGATAAAAATGCTCTATCAGTGGGTCCAGATACCTGGCAGGCAGCCTTTGCCTCAGCAGATATTCCTTCAAATTACTACCATCCCCAGATCTTTCTACTTTCTCCAAGCCATTCAAACTGGATAGATCTGTCGATTGAATGCTGTGAATCAGCCTCAGTAGTAACATTCATGACTGTGGTAAAATGTTATATGTTTCATACAACTGCAGTAAAATCTGTGGGTGTTTAGTCTGTTCGGGGAGGTGTTTTCGTCCGTTTAAACTCGTTTTTTTCAATTGGAGATAAGCTTCTTGCTTGTTCTGGAAATTTTTGATAGATGGGTGTCAATATGGCATCAAAACCGATGTACGTTGTTGTGTTTAGACGCCCGATATGACCCTTACCCTCGATCTAAATTTAAACATATAGTTTAAGCTCACTAATTCTCGATATGAATCCTCTTTCTTGAATATTGTACAAGATGTAATGGGTTACACGCGGTACTTTAAACCGAATATGTTGAGTGTCCACACCAAGCACTGATCGGTGGAATTGAGTGGTACAGTCTTGTTACCATGTACTTACGGTAATACCGCACCTTATCGGGTCGGGATAAGGGATCCGACTTCTGTCATAAGATTGTAATGTAGAAGTCAGTCAGGCAAGGTTTTAGGGTTTATCACCGTAGCTAAAAGAATAAAAAAAGTCTAGTTCCCCTTGTAAATCGTGGACGCTAGTGCCTAGTCAAGGCATAGCGCGTTGTAAAAGTGTTAGTCTTGTGAAGGCGTACACTCTTGTTTAACTAGTTGTCTCTAGTAAGTGTGTGATTTTGTGAATCGTGATCCCTTTGGAACCGGAATTGATACGATTGTACGCTTGAACGAATGTACGTCGTTGTTAGTTTGTTACAGCTAATAAACTTTTCGATTCTGAGACTTCCTCTGTTAAAGAGCGCGAAGTAGCTCCAGTACGCTTGGTAGCACTCGTAGTCAATCTAGACCTGAGTCTTCACAGACTAGATCCTCTGCGAGGATTGAGACGACCATGAACCTTGCTGAGGCCTAGCGGATCACTCTTGAGAAGCTCACGGTGTTGATAGGGCACGAGAAAGTATCTATTATTATGGTGCAAGGCCCGGACGCACTTCGTGCACGTCTCGAGACCTTCTCGACCTTTGAGCAAACGTTGATCCGTAGGTCATGACCATTTGGCATCTGCCATGCCCACTCGGTATGTTAAAATACCGGACACTTAGTCAAGCCTCGTCCTCTGGTTATAACTGTAAAGACTTTCGAGGAAACAGGGAGAACATTGCTTTTTGGGTTCGCGGGATGGAGGTTGCCATCAGCTTGGCCCTGCTGCGGTCAGCGCAACAATAGGTGGTTCTGACCCTATCGAAGTTATGTGGGCGAGCGAGGGAGTAAGTCTTCACTTCTGGCACCTCGATAGACAAGGATTTCCCGCCTGAAATATACTAAAACAGTGATGATCTCAGGCATTTGCCCCGCCTAATTAGGCATATCGCGTGCGATCACGCTTCCTATTGTCCTACCAGGGTAAAAAGGACTTAGTCGATTATGTCCAAGATTTTCGAACTCTCAATGCTGCTATGCAACTTAACTCTTTGCCTGAGACGGTTTTGGTAACCATTTTTGTAAAGGGTCTTCGCACTGGTGTTGCCAGAGCAAAAGTGTTTTGTACACAACCCTTGACATTTGAGGGTGCAGTGGACATAGCTTTGAACGCAGAGTTTAACTTTGAATCTTCCCCGCTACGGAACTCATGGGTTTCAATTGAAATCGTCGAGCTATGCTCATCTCATGGATAGGTCAAAGCCCATGTACCTTAGTCCCGCTAAGAGAGACAAAAAAGCTGAGATTTACGCTGTCGAACGGGGTTTTAAAATCCGTAGATGTTTTAAGTGCGGGAGCATCAAACATCTTCGACCCAATTGGCCTTTGAGAAGGACCAGACAGGCTCATTCAATCCGACCTCCCGTCGCTAACGAGCGAATTGGTAAGGCGTGGGAAAACGTCGAGCCCCAGTAGGCGCAGGGAGTCCTGCTGGGGGAGATTCAAAGTCTTTTGTACCTCTGGGAGTTAATGAAGAACAGGACCTAGCCCCAAGTGGATTCGTGAGCAATGTCACGAAGCATGAGTACTAGACAGGCTTGTTAGTTGCGAAAGCAACGGTGAAGGTCTTTCATAAGCCATGTTCGATGTCGAATAACTCCGGGGCGTCGGGAAATTACGTCCGACGTTGTTCCCTGGAAGATAGTCGGCAGTATGCTGAGGCGCTGAAATCGTAAAAGAATGAAAATATCCCTGTTCGCTTGGCGACGGGTGCAGTAGTCACTGTGCCCAACGTTCCTGTGAAGCTAAATGTTAATATTTTTTGACTTTGACAATATCAAACGCTGTCTAGTCGTTGACTTGGATAAGGGGTATGATCTTACCTTGGTACGGCTTGGCTAGATTTCCATAAACCATGGATTTATTGGAGGTCAAAGACCTTAGGCGCACCGCGCACTGTTCCTAGTGGAGCTTTAGAGAGATATGAGCTCACCTCGGCTAGAAAACAGAAACGGTATTGGCGCCAGCCACGGACTGAGACAGTCAGTGTGCTGAACATCGGTATGGCTGCACTCGATGAGTTGGAAGATGAAAAAAACATTAGTTTCGAGCCAAGTTCAATGATCATTAGTGAGTCGGCATGTACTCCGTCGATTGATAATCGTTGTGATCACATATTACTGAATGCTGAATGCCTTGTTGGCCTAGAGCCAATTCATCATGGGTCGAACCCATCTGGTGAGCGTGGAGTGGCACGCAAGTACCCATTGAGTGATGTCGACCGTGATTGCGACACACTGGATCTCATTCAAGACATTGTTGGTGAATAACCAAGTCAACAAGGGCAACGCCCATTTGATGAGCGTGGAGTGGAACGTAAGTACCCACTGGATGGCGATCTCACTGGAAGTGACTAATCACCAGATGTCGGTAACGACAACGGATCTGACATAGATCAAATTGAAGTTGACGCAGTTTGTCATAATGGGCACAGTGTAGTTTTAGATGTTGGCGATGACATCGGTCCTGATATTGGGCAAATAAAGTGTGAAGCTGTTCGTCACCTTGGGGAAAGTGCCGTCCCGGGTTTTGGTAATGGCATTCACTCTGATAGTAGACAAATAAAGGTTGACGCACTCCTTCAACTTGAGGGCGGTATAGTTTCGGATCTTAGTAATGATATCGGCTCGGGTAATGAGTAACTTAAGGTTGACGGTCATGTCAACCTTGGGGACACTGACGTCCCAGGTGTCAGTAATGACACCGGCTCTTGTACAAAGCAAGTTAAGGATGATGATGATACCAACCTTGGGAACGAGAAATGTCCAGTCTCTTTGAGGCACGCCATCTCGTCTCAAAGACAACAGAGACGTTAGATTGCTGATATGCAGCACGATGCGTCTGTTACCTCACTAAGTAATACTTGCGTGCAGCTATAAACACTCCTTTATAAAGTGAATGGTGATGTAGATGGTTCAGTAAGTCTTGAGACTTTACCCTCACTAAACACTCTGTTAAAGATAGACTCAATGTATGTCGATGAGATTGGCCTGACCTTGAAGTCGGGTGACTTATGTGAAGTGGTGGTCATTGGATCCGAGAGTGAGTTTAACTCGTCGTCACTTCTTGACGAAGAGCTGTCTTGAAATACACAAACTCGACGCTGAGTGCTCGAAGTGGGTCGTCGATATTCCTTAGGACCCGTTTCATCGTTTGGTGAAGAAGTTTCAGGATGTAGTGTGTCACGATCCACCTCCCAATCTGCCTCCTGATCGGGGCGTACGTCATGAAATTGACCTGGTTCCTGGAATCAAGAACTGCGGAACACGGCAGTGGCCTTTGTGTAACGGGGTGAATCGTTACATAAAAATTTATAAGAAATTGTTAATAGAATATAACTATAAGAGTTATATTCTCAGAATATTGTCATAAGGACAATATTCTGTAGCACTTCCAAGTAGTTCCTAATTGGTTGATATAGGCCATTATATCAACCAACGAAGACGCGCCACGACAGACGCACGCAATGAGTGGTGAGCAGATAACTGATTTACACATTTGTATTTAGACATAGTTAGATGAAGATAAATAGTGATTTATTGCAGACATTAACTATTATAAATACAGTTCTACTTTTTACTCTAACCGAGTACTCGCTTCTTCTTACCGTCTTCCTCTGCACGTACGAGTGTACGTGAAGTTACGAGGCACCGCCTTATTCTGTTATCAGAATAAGTAGCTTGTACTGTCACCAGTACAAGCTTCAGGGTGCCCCGTTACACCTGGTAGCACTTCGTAGTCCGTCCAAGGACCGCGTTCACATCCAACATGAATATGTTGGATGATGAAGATGACCAAAGCTTTCACGCTACGCGTGACGGCTACTCCCATTTGAGCGATGTCGAATGGGATGCGGTTGAACGAATGGGTTCGACCATGGGCATCCATGCTGTTAGCGTCATGCTAGAGGCTCTCAATAGAGATGCCCAACATGCTACTATCGCCAAGTTCATTCAAAATGAACTTGACGCAGAACGCGAGAAAGTAGCCTTGCTTCACCAACAAGGTTCTCAACAAGCAGAGTTGTTGAGAGAACAGGGTGCTCAACAGTTTGAACTGTTGAGACAGCAGCAGGCTGCTGCTGGCGGGTCGATGCACTCGCGTCGGCCCGAGACTTTGAAGATTGACATCTCAAAGTATAGGGGGTCGAAGAAGACTCCCTCTTGAGATGGTTCGTCGAATTGGATGACGCCATAAGGGCGCGTCGCATCGACGACGGGGATATGCAAGTTGCATTTGCCCAGTCAAATCTGGCAGGACGTGCCAAGACTTGGGCACTGGGGCTCAAGCTGCACGACCCATATGCGTTTGGGTCGTTGGAAGTCTTCAAGTCGCGGCTCAGACAAACGTTTGAACCGCCTAGAGCTGAGTTCAGAGCTCGAACCGAACTCTTGAAGCTCAAGCAGGGTAAGCGTGATGTGCACGCTTACGCTCAACATATACGACATCTCACGAGTTGTATAAGTTCCAATCCGGTGGATGAACACACGTTGGTTTCGGTGTTCATGCAGGGTCTTGCGGATGGTCCCGTCAAGACTCACCTGTTCCGGCTTGAACTAGATTCACTAGAACAAGCCATTTCAATTGCGGAGCAGGAAGACTTCAGTCTGAGACAGGCTCGCGCCAGCTCGACATCATATCGTCAACCGAGACGATATGACAACGGAGGTCCAGAGCCGATGGAACTCTGTTATGTAGAGAGCGAGAAGGCTCGCTCTACAGGCTACAAGAAGTTGCAGAGATGCAACAGATGTCAAAAGACAGGACACTACGCTTACGAGTGTAGTGCCCCTCGTCCAGTGTCTCGCGACACTGGGCGTAGTGACCGTCCACCCATGAGAAAGGGGCAGGGACGAGGGTCCGCAGTTGGTGCAAATACGCAACAACGGGATGGACCGTCAAAAAACGGACAGGATCAGTAGGTGCGGAGCACCCTACTGATCCAGCAACGTCAAGAGAATTTGTAGGCCTCTTGATGAAGGTTGCTCCCAACACACAGACATTGTGCGTTGCTGCTCTAGGTAATGAGATCTCACTCATTACCTTGAAACTCGAAGTGACGAATAAGTTGTCCCTTCGAGCTCTAGTCGATTGTGGGGCGTCCAACAATTTTGTGCGACGCCAATCGCTAGAAGATGGTCACTTTAAATTCAGTGAATGTGACACACCTCCTACGAGGATGACGGTACGTCTTGCGACAGGCGCATCCGTAACCGTCATGAAGCGTATAGTGAAGATTCACTATACGCTAGAAGATACCCAATACGACGATGACTTTATCGTATTGGATTTGGATGACAAATTTGATGTCATCCTTGGAATACCGTGGCTCAGAAGGTACGAACCACGGGTAAACTGGCAACATCGGACAGTAACGATGCCTGCCGCTTGTTCATCAGATGGCCATCTGATGAACGTTTTGGAGCGTCCACAAGCGTGTGGATGTACTACGAGTGAGTGCGATGGCCTCACTTGTGGTACGGTCGTTAGTACGACTGCACAAAACCTTAGTGTACCAAACGGTTACACTTCGGAGCAAAGTTCCGGCGGCTGTGAGGAAACACAGGCTGCGCCGAAGGTCCACCACTCGAATAAGTCGGGTGGACTGGGACAAAGATGTATCCCTAGAGGGGAACATCTAGAAGAGAAACAATCGATCGCTCAGGTTAAGCGAAACGATAATCCTAGATCGACTGGAGAGTCTTTCGTAGAGGATCTCGCTGTGGTTGCGCAACCCCAGCTAGAGGAAGTAAAGGGAATAAGTCCCAAGATTACAAATACGGCGGAAATAAGTTCCCCGAAACCCGCGGGAATAAGTCCCCGGGAAGACGAAGGAATAAGTCCTTCGAAGCCTGAGGGAATAAGTCCCCAGGAAATGACAGAGACATTGAATGTCATAGTCAATAACGGATCATGTGTAGGCGCTTATACACTTGATCTGATTGCGCCTCCGAAGTTAACTTCGGAGATCACTCAGTTGCCAACGCTCGAACATAAAAGATTCTTGCGTGATCTGCGTAGTGGCAAAGTCAAGCAGATCTGCGTACTCGTCGCTGAAGACGAGTATGTAACCGACATAAGGTCAGCAACAGTGTTTACTGAGAACGAGATAGTTCTCAGTAGCTCATCTATGGACGAGAGTGTCCTAGATGAAAAGACACGAATTGAGCGATATGAGTCCCAATCATGGGAATCGCTCAAGGAAAATCCTCTCTATGAAGATTTGGTTGAATTCAGGGATGTATTCCCTGAAACTGTTCCAATTACCGAAGGATAAAGGTACTCGACCAGAGGTCGAGCTTAAACCAGGCTCGAAGTACTGTGTCATGAAGCAGTGGCGACTGCCTCGTGAACAAGTACTTGCGATCGACAAGTTCTTTGCCGATCGTTTAGCTGCGGGCCATGTGAGGGAATCAACTTCCCCACATAGCTCTCCGACCTTCTGTGTGCGAAAAGCAACAGGAGGGTGGCGGATAGTGCACGCGCTCAACAAATTGAACGCTGCAACGGTGCCGGCTCAGACGCCGATACCGAGGAAGGACGTAATCATTGATGGTATGTCAAAGAGTACCATCTTTTCGTCCATGGATTTGATGGATGGCTTCTATCAAATCCTAATGCGGAACGGGATATACCCTATACCGCAGTTAGCACGCCTAGCGGCATGCTCTGGGAATGGCTAGTAATGCCACAAGGGCTCAGTAATGCCCCTGCCACGTTCAACAGGTGTGTATCACATCTGTTGAGGCCGGTACGAGAATTCGCGCCGAGTTATTTCGATGACGTATTCATCCATAGTCGAGCTATGGATGGAAAGTCGGACGTTGAGGTTCACAAGTACCACGTCCGACAAGTTCTTACAATCATGCGAAAGCATCAATTGTATGCAAACCTCAAGAAGTGTATATTTGCAGCAAGCGAAATACCACTTCTTGGGTGCATCGTTGGTAAGAACGGTGTACGTCCTGATCCCGAAAAGATCAAGGCGATCACCGACTGGCCCGTGCCGGTCGATGTCAAAGGTCTTCGAAAATTCCTTGGGCTAGCGGCGTATTTGCATAAGTATTCACGCAATTACGCCGAGATGACTGTACACCTCTCTCGTTTGTTGAAAAAGAACGAGAGGTGGTTATGGAACGCTGAATGTCAACGCTCCTTTGAGGGTATCAAGCAGAGCTTGATACAATCCCCAGTCCTAGCAATAGCCGATCAGGACAGGCCATTTCATGTGGTCTGTGATGCCAGCGATTTCGCAATCGGCTGTGCATTAATGCAGTACGATCTTGAAGGCGTTGAACGCGTCGTCTGCTATCAGTCGCGTCAGCTGCAACCAGCTGAGCGGAACTATCCAGTGCATGACAAGGAACTCCTTGCCATGAAGTATGCACTCGCGAAGTTCAGAGTCTATCTATTAGGAGATAGACCCTTCGTTGTTTACACTGACCATGCGTCCTTACGCACGGCAGTGAACAGCCCGCACCTTTCACAACGAATGGCGCGGTGGTTGTCATTCTTTGCAGAATACAACTTTACGGTCGAGTACAAACCAGGACGACTTAATGTCGTCGCTGATGCACTCTCACGTCGTCCCGACTTTGAAACAGTCGCGAAACCCAACAGTGAGACAGTCACTGTTGCGGTTATGACGTCCTCAGTTCCATCTACAACGTTGTATGATGATGTGAGGCGGGCATACGCCCAAGATGGTGAGATAGTGAAGTTGTTGTCACATCTCTCCCAACCATCTCGAGAATCGTTGAAACGATTGTCGTCTGCGTATCGATCTGCATCAGATCGATACACTACTCGCAACGGGTTACTGTATTATACAGCCGTTTCTGGTGACACAACACGTGTTGTCATTCCAGATGATATTGATCTGCGTTTGCGGATCATGTTCGAGTATCACGATGCTCCTGTAGGAGGACATCGTGGCCGAGAGAAAACATATCTCACGGTGAGTCGAGACTTTTACTGGCCCCGCCAGTATCAGTTTGTGCGAAAGTATGTTCGCGCATGCGAAGTCTGCCAACGAGTGAAGTCAAGTCCTTCACTGCGTGCACCTTTACAGCCTCTATCGGTTCCGGCTGAGTGCTGGGAATTCATCTCAATGGATTTCGTCTTCGGGTTACCCAAAGACGCACGCGGGAATACGGGTATTCTCGTATTTGTTGACAGATTCAGCAAAATGGTACACCTTGTGGCTGTACCAGAGACAATCACGGCAAGTGGCTGTGCTTGTGTCTTTATTGACACCATCTTCCGACTTCATGGGTTGCCCCGTGAACTCGTATCAGACAGAGATCCACGATTCACTGCTGATTTCTGGCGTTCCGTGTTCAAATCACTCGGAACGCGCTTGAAGATGTCAACATCTGATCATCCAGAGTCAGATGGTCAGACGGAACGTGCCAATCGTGTCCTTGAAGAGATACTTCGAGGATACGTACACTCCTTTAAGAGTTGGAGTGAGTTCTTGCCAATGGTAGAGTTTGCCATCAACAACTCGGTGCATGCGTCCACGACACATACACCGTTTTACGTGAATGGCTTGCGCCATCCGCGTGTACCCACCTTACTAGAGTGTAACTCTGGTTTAAGGGGGGAGGGACTCGCGCGAGCAAAAACCGATTTGGTTCACGCTCATCACGCTCTGACGAAGAAGTCATTGCGTTTGATGCCGATATCGATAACATCGATATCGAAGAAGATGATGCCAGTGAGAGTGCGGAAGCCCTCACTGAAGACAATGATCCCAGTGAGAGTGCGGAAGCCCTCACTGAAGAAAAGGTTGATGTTGCTGCAGTGCGCTCACAGCACACTGAAGCTAACGAGTCATCAGATGAGTTCATACTGGCTCGTGAAACGGTAGTCCGTTTTGTGCAAGGCTCCATCGCCGAAGCGGTGGATAAGCAAAAGCAAAACGCTGACAAGAATGGAAGGGCAAACGCTCTTTTATTTAATAAAGGTGACTTAGTCCTACTGTCTACGGTTAATCTACCAAAACATGTAGTGACTAACTTGGGTAGCAGTAAACTACTACCCAAGTACATTGGCCCATTTCGTGTATTGCACCGCCTAGGCAATGCATACACGATCGAGTTACCACGTAAGATGCGAACGCATCCCACGTTTTACGTTGGTCGGCTTAAGCCGTACCATCAGTACGCTGCTTCTTCCGATGAAGAACGCCCTTGCGCTCAAGCATCTCGCAGAGAGCCTTGTGCTCCCGATGGTGGGCATCAACAAGGGTCTGAAGAGCAGTTATCTCAGCCCGAGACCGATCAACAATCCCACGAGCTACCCTTAGCTCGTCACGAAGAGATGTCAGAGATCTCTCGTTCTCAAGCTGAGCAAAGGCAAACTCAGCTCGATGCTTCGAGGCAGTGTCCACCATCTGGAGACGCCTATTCCGCTCATGCTCGAGATCGTCGCGTAACCCTTGCGTTACGCGATCAAAGAAGCTCTCGGGAACACACCGATCCACATGATCGTGTGGAGAGCGTCTTTCCTCCTCCTCCACCTCCATTAGAGGACTCTCGCGGTGGCCAGCGCTATCTAGTAGAGCAGCTGTTGAACCACCGCGACGTGAACGGACGTCGGACGAGTTACCTCGTCCGGTGGCGCGGCTATCCCCCGTCCTGGGATTCTTGGGAGCCCCGCTCCCAATTGATGGTTGACGTACTGGGTCTGGTCGAGCAGTACGACGCGACACATCCTGTGCCGCAGAAGGACCGCCGGAGAAGTCTTCCCGGCACGGTCGTAAAGGGATTTCAGGTTGTCAATCCCTTCGTACATCTCACTAGAGATACGGACGTGCCGCCACGGGCTGGTAAGGAGGTAAGCCTCCTTAGGTGCTCGTGCAGAGTTGTTCACACAACATGGGCACGAGTCTCCCCAAGAGAGGCAGGGTAATCCTTTC